AGAGGAAAGTGATCAGAAACAGTCAGCATTGATTCACTAAGGGCAAGTCATGCCTGACTAACCTAATTGCCTTCTATGAGGAGATAACGGACTATGTGGATGAGGGGAAAGAAGTGGATGTGCTATTCCTTGACTTTAGCAAAGCTTTTGATAAGGTCTCCCACAGTATTCTTGCCACCAAGTTAAAGAAGTATGGGCTAGATGAATGGACTATAAGGTGGATAGAAAGCTGGCTAGATCGTCAGGCTCAACGGGTAGTGATCAACGGCTCCATGTCTAGTTGGCAGCCGGTTTCAAGTGGCGTGCCCCAGGGGTCGGTCCTGGGGGCCGGTTTTGTTCAATATCTTCATTAATGATCTGGAGGATGGCAGGGACTGCACTCTCAGCAGGTTTGCAGATGACACTAAACTGGGAGGAGTGGTAGATATGCTGGACGGTAGGGATAGGATACAGAGGGACCTAGACAAATGAGAGGATTGGACCAAAAGAAACCTGATGAGGTTCAACAAGGACAAGTGCAGAGTCCTGCACTTAGGATGGAAGAATCCCATGTTACAGACTAGGGACCGAATGGCTAGGCAGCAGTTCTGCAGAAAAAGACCTTGGGGTTACAGTGGACGAGAAGCTGGATATGAGTCAACAGTGTGCCCTTGTTGCCAAGAAGGCTAACGGCATTTTGGGCTGTATAAGTAGGGGCTTTGCCAGCAGATCGAGGGATGTGATCATTCCCCTCTATTCGACTCCTCATCTGGAGTGCTGTGTTCAGTTTTGGGCCCCACACTACAAGAAGGATGTGGAAAAATTGGAAAGAGTCCAGCGGAGGGCAACAAAAATGTTTAGTGGGCTGGAGCACATGACTTATGAGGAGAGGCTGAGGGAACTGGGATTGTTTAGTCTGCAGAAGAGAAGAATGAGGGGAGATTTGATAGCTGCTTTCAACTAACTGAAAGGGGGTTCCAAAGAAGATGGATCTAGACTGTTCTCAGTGGTACCAGATGACAGAACAAGGAGTAATGGTCTCAAGGGTGGTGAAACACTGGAATGGGTTATCTAGGGAGGTGGTGGACTCTCCTTCCTTAGAGGTTTTTAAAGGTCAGGCTTGACAAAGCCCTGGCTGGGATGATTTAGTTGGGAATTGGTCCTGCTTTGAGCAGGGGGTTGGACTAGATGACCTCCTGAGGTCCCTTCCAACCTATGATTCTATGATCTATAATGCATAATTCTCCCATAAGAATGGATGGACTGTAAAGTAGAAATTACATCTACTGTGGCTTGTTTAACACAAAGTTGTTTTCTATAGACTCCTGTACCTGTTTCTGCAAAGCAAGCTCTCCTTCCACTTCTTGGAGTTTTCTCTCCAACTGCTGTTTCAGCTTCTTATACTCCTCACAGTGATGGTCAATGTCAGAAACCTTAGAACTGTAACAACACCAAACAAATTTATATGAAATGTGGTCAATTATGAACTATTAATAGGTGCTTCTGAAAGGTTCTTCCAGGAACAATGCACTCAGAAATATAACTTGCAAAAATGTAATTTCTTAAACAAAAATGCATCTTAACTTTCCATTCACAACATACAATTACAAAATAATTGTTTTCATTCTCTTAGGGTATGTTTACACTACCCGCCGGATTGGCAGGCAGCGATTGATCCAGCGGGGATCGATTTATCGTCTAGTTTAGATGCGATAAATTGACTCCCGAGCACTCTCCCGTCAACTCCTCTACTCCACCGCCGTGAGAGGCACAGGCAGGGTCGACGGGGGAGCGGCAACAGTCGACTCACTGCAGTGAAGACACTGCAGTGAGTAGGTCTAAGTACGTCGACTTCAGCTACGTTATTCACGTAGCTGAAGTTGCATAACTTAGATCGATACCACCCCCAGTGTAGACCAGGTCTTACAAATAAGTAAATATTTAACAATTAATACATTTTCAGATCAGAAGGGACCCTTATAATCATCTAATTCAAACTCCTGCATAGGCTATAACTTCTGGTTGAGCTTCAGCATATTTTTTAGAAAGATGTCTAATCCAGGCTAGACTACACTACAAAGCCAGTACAGCTATACCAGCAAAGTCTCCTAGTTGAGATATCAGGGGGTAGCCGTGTTAGTCTGTATCTACAAAAACAACAAGTAGTCTGGTGGCACCTTAAAGACTAACAGATTTATTTGGGCATAAGCTTTTGTGAGTTAACCTTGAAGTGAGGTTTTAACTCACGAAAGCTTATGCCCCAATAAATCTGTTAGTCTTTAAGGTGCCACCAGACTCCTTGTTGTTTTCCTAGTTGAGATGCAGACTATACCAGCAAAAAGAAGTCTTTTGCCAGTATACTTAAACCACCTCCCTGAATGACATAAGCTATGCCATCAAAAGGACTCTTTTGCCAATATAAGCAGTATCTACATGGGGGGATTTACCAGCATAGCTATGTCAGTTAGGGGTGATTTTTCACACTTTCTGACAGACATAGCTAGGCTGATAAACTCTGTAGTGTAGACCTGGCCTAAAGAGTAAAAGACTTCAAGTGATGGAGACTCCAACACATCCCTTGTAAGTTGCCCAGTGATTAATTACCCTTATTGTTAGAAATCTGACTCGTTTCAAGTTTGAATTTGGCTAGCTTCAACTTCCAGACATTGGATCTCATTATGCCTTTGTCTGATAGGTTAAAGAGCCCTCTGGCATCAGATATCTTCTTCCTGTGTAGGTACTTATACAGCATGATCAACCATCTCTGAACTTTCTCTTTGATAAATGAGACAGGGCACGCTTGCACTGCACTGGTTCAGCAGCAGTTAATCCTACTCTGCGGGCAGAGGAGGCCATGCCCCCTTGGCCCTGCTGGGCATGCTTCAGCTGGAACCCAGGTATAAAAGGGAGCAGCTAAGCTCAGTCAGGGCTGATGGCTGAGGAGGGAGGATGCACATTGCAGGCTCCAGTCCAGGAGCTGCTGAAGCCTGAGACCGCTGAAGCCAGAGATGCAGAGACCCAGGCAGATACCCAGAGGCCTACAGACGCCCGAGTGAGGTCGGTGTCATCAGGAGCTACACACACCGAGGAACCCAGCGACCCCAGAGATGCCCAGACCACTGCTTCCAGAGATAGGGTAGGAAGTGGCCCAGGGGAGGACTAGCCATTGGGCCAAGTGATGTCAGTGTGTTTTGATTGGATCCCCACTAACTCAGTGGCAAATACTCTCACCACTGACAGGACCCTGGGCTGGGACCCAGTGGAGCAGAGGGAACTGGGTCCCAGCAGCCACCTGCCCCTAGGTGCCAGCCCTGTTCTCCCCATTGGCCATCAGACCACCTAGCCCCAAAAGAGAGGGCAGCTATATTGACTCCGGTTATTAGGCCACGCAACCCTGAGGGAGAGGACAGCCATACTGACTTTGGCCTCTAGGTTGCACCACCCCAAGGCTAAGGGTGGTTGAGTGGATTCAGCCGTGGGGCTGTAACGATCCTGACCCAAGACGGACGTGCTTGCCCCACAACAATAAGCTAAATAGATTGAGCTTCTTAAGTCTGCCCCTGAAAGGCAGCTTTCCAGATCTTACCTCATTCTGGTGGCTCTTTAATGAACCCCTTCTAATTCTTCAACATCCTTATTAAAGCACAGAAACCAGAACTGGACACATTGATGAGACCATTACTGTAATAATATCATAAACAGAAGAAATACTACCTCTTTGGTCCTATTCGATATTCCTCTAATTATGCATCCAAGGATTACATAAAACCCTTAGCCATAGCATCACACTGGGGACTCATGTTCAGCTGGTCATTCACTAGAATCCCTAAGTGCTCTTCAGAGTCACTGCTTTCCAGGATACAGTTCCCCATGCAGTAACTATGACCTACATTCTTTGCTTCTACATGTATGACCTTGAATCTAGCTAAAACACATGGTTTTTGTTTGTGGCCAATTTATCAAGTGATCCAGGTGACTCCATATAAGTTACCTGTTCTCACCATTATTTACCACTCCACCAATTTTTCTGTCATCTGAAAACATTACAGCAATTATTTTAGATTTTCTTCCAGGTGGTTTTTGGATATTTCAGTTTTGTTCCTCATCCACCTCCTTTTTCTGATTTGGTGGTCTATAGTAGACCCCTATCATGATGTTGTGACATTCCCCTGGTGTTATGCAGACAGGTGATCTGCTAGGTCACTCCAATCCTTAACTCCGGGAGCCAGCCTTACCCTGCTCTGCTGTGAGAAGCCCCACTCCTGGACTGTTCACGCACAGCCTCTGGCATGTAAGCTGCTCCATAGATTGTGCAACCGAATTACACTAGCCAATATCTCTGGTCCCAGACACAACTCTTGAAACCTCCATCTTGCAGTGCCCAGTTATGCCCGCTGGACACTGCAAACTTATATGAGTTCGTCAATTTAACAAAGAAATTTATATGTACCACGCTTGTTATCCCAAGGGGAGTCTCTGACATGCTTCAAACCAAATGCTCTGCTTCAGGTAGAATAAACAAATTTATTAACTACAAAAGATAGATTTTAAGTGATTATAAGTCAAAGCATAACAAGTCAGATTTGGTCAAATTAAATAAAAGCAAAACACATTCTAAGCTGATCCTAACACTTTCAGTGCCCTTACAAACTTAGATGCTTCTCACCACTGGCAGGCTGGCTGCCCTTCAGCCACGCTCTCCTCTTTGACCAGTTCTTCAGTCGCTTGATGGTGGTGTCTGTAGATGTAGGTGGAAGCGAGAGAGAGCATGGCAAACTTCTCTCACTTTTATCATGTCCTTTCTTCCCTCTTGGCTTTGCCCCCACCCTTCAAAGTCAGGTGAGCATTACCCCATCGTAGTCCCAAACTGACCAAGGGAAGGGGGGGTGACTCATTCGAGAGTCCAACAGCTCCTTTGTTGCGGTCTAGGCCAGTGTCCTTTGTTCCTGTGAGGCTGGGCTGGGTTTGTCCCATACATGCCCTGATGAGGTGTGAACTGTCCCTCTGCTCCTAGAGAGTTTTGCCTGGGCTTGTTTTAAGCCATGAGGACACATTTTCAGCCTCATAACTATATACATGAAATTACAACCTATAACATTACTATAACAACAATGCTCAGTGCATCATGAGCCTTCAGAAGACACCTGACATGACAAATTTTACATTGGATACCACACAATCATAAGGATGAATATGGGGGTGCAGGGTGTTCCCTGAGGTACAGAGTCACAGATGTCACTCCTATTTTTCTCCCTTTTATCTTTACCAGGGACTTTCAACTGGTGGGCCTCTCACCTCTTTCTGGACCTCATAAAAAGTGTATATACACCTCTACCCCAATATAACGCGACCCGATATAACATGAATTCGGATATAACGTGGTAAAGCAGTGCTCCGGGGAGGGTGGGGGGCCGTGACAGATTTGCAGCCTTAGTCATAATTTAGCTTATGTACTAATACTTCCAGAGGTGAATGAGGAACAAACAGAACTATGCAAAACCCAAGACTTGGTAGTAATGGGAGACGTTAACTACCCAGACATCTGTTGAAAAAGTAATACAGCAAAACACAACATTTCCAATAAATTCTTGGAATGCACAGGGGACCAGGAGCGTACTTCCCTTAGAGTAACTTCAGTTCTTCAACATGTTTTGTCCCTTTGGTGGTCCATCATTGGATGTGTGCATGCCCATGTGTGCTCCCCACCAGAGAATGCAAAGCATCCACGGTCCCAAACCTGAGCAGAACAGCACCTTGAGCCTCCAAACAAGGACATGTAAGGTGGTGCGGATCCGCTGCCACTCAATTTCTTCTCAACCACGAAGCAGAATCTCCACAGCCAAGGGGGAGGAGAGGGAGAGATGGAGCACCCAGAGGGACAAAACATTTAGAAGAACTCAAGTCATTGTATGGTAAGTAACCTCTCCTTCTTTGAGTATATGTCCTTATGGGTGCTCTAGCACAGGATACTCCCAAGCAGTAACTAAGAGTGAGTGCTGAGGAGGCAAGTCTAAGACAGTTCAAAGGACTGCGTTGTCAAAGGTAGTATCATCTCTGGAAGCAGGTAAGATGGTGTAATGCTTGGCAAAGATATGAAGAGATGACCAGGTTGCACTCCTACAGATTTCTATTATAACATCTTTCAGTAGCATTATAGATGTGGACTCAGTCTGAGTGGAATGTACTGTTACTGTACCGAGGCCACATCCCAATGGATTCATAACACCCTTGGTATTGAAACGATTTAGAGTGCTGAGACATCTGGGACCTACTAAACCATATCTTTGTTGCACAAATGTAAATTCTCAGAGGCCATAATGTTGCCCTCAAGTCCCACAGGGTGTGGAAGGAGGAGTCTGTCATCACTGAAGGGCTTGGGCCGTTCAATCATATTCTGCACCTCTCTCAGGAGACCATAAGACTGGAACCAGGATGTTCTC